AACAAGTGCATCGCTACTAGTAACAGGTGCCTTACTAGTAGTAACAATGTTTGCTATTTGGTTTTCGATCGACACAATCGACCGACAGAAATCGACAAGTCTTTTCCCACCGAAAAACGACACAATCGCAGCGGTGCATACCCACGTGCAAGCCGGACCTCGTAGGAAGGACCCCCGACCAGGCAAACCAAAGCCCTTGGCAAGCATGGGAAACACGCTGGGATTCAGGGTCCGCCTATCTGATACAAAACATGTTGCGGACGCATGCCCCCCCCAAAAAACAAACAATCGAGCACAGCCTGTTGTGCTGTGGCTATGCTGTGAATGTCCAAGCGGCACCGTGCTTGGCACATCTTCACCTTGGTGAGCGCTATGGGCACCGCATGGTGCGGCTTCAGATGGGTCTTTGAGACGAGACACGAATGCAGTAGTAAAGCAGCCTCCGTGAGGTTCTTGAGACCAATCTTGAGAGAAGGTAGGTCGTCTCCCCTGAAAAACACATGGACTGCCATCAAAACGTCTCCCTTTAGCATTCTTTCGAGTTCAACGGATGTAGGACTCTCGGCACCGAAAAGATTCTAGCCGTACAGAAAGCGGCTACAGGACATGAAAAAAGATGTGACCATTATCAATGCACCAGAAGCAGGCTGATAACCTACGGGCACCTATCGGGCATTGACCAGGTGTGAACTTCACGAAAAGCTTTCCCAGCTGACCCATCTGAAAACCTCAGGCGCTGATGAAGGCGCTTTCTCCAAGCTTTCCGACTCAAGCGGATTGGATTCAGCCGGAAGTTCCCTTTCGACCGCCGAGCCACGCCCCAAGGCTGCCTTGGCAAAATGACACACCGCCAGTCAAACAATACAATACGTGGCACTGCACAAGGTGATGCGTGATGGAATTGTTTTGCAAAAAGGCACCTTGAAATGACCTTAGGCATCTTAAGTCCCGTCCTACAGTGACTAAAATTGTTGTAGACAAATCTCTAAAGAGACAAAATTCATCCAACTTCCAATTTGAAGGCATCGTTGTGAGGTCCCACGTGTTTGTGACTGTTTGTGTGTGTGCGTGTGCGCGTGTGTGGCTCCCCAATTCTGATGGCATTCTCCACACGAAACAATTACCTTCGCCAAGAGGCTAGAAAAGAGGATGGCATTGGGGGATGGAAGTGAATTTGATGCCTCTGGAGCACTGCCAAGGAGGCGGTCACAATTACTGCCGCACCTGCATTCGCTGTACAAACAAAAACTGCTCACAGTGGGAATCGAAACTTGGAATGTTTTGCGAGAGAAATCACATGAGCTCAGAATGTTGGGCTGGGACACCAAGTCAAAGACACACAAACCGACCTCTACCGCGGCCCTTCGAGCAAACATATCATTTGCACTTACATCAATGAACTCAATGAGCGGATTGTGCTGGCGGGATGAAGCCTTGGTAAATGGTCTGATCAGTTTGCACCATCAAGCGGTCGTCCTTCTCGAAGTGGATGGATTTCACCTCCACGGGACACTTGAGGGATCAGGATGATGGGTGAATGGATGTCAAGGGCCAAATCTAACTCGAACCTCTTACAGTCACAGCTCCAAAATTAACCTCTTGATGCAAATATATTTGAGGGACGCCCGAACATCCTTAGAAAGAGCCATCAAACCTGTTACAGGTGGACAACATACAAGCACCACGATTGCAAAGCACTTGAGCAATCTTGAGCAGCTTTTCACTTGAGCCAAACGCGGGAATTAAGGCAACGCAAACGCAGGGATTGCTTCACGATTGCTTCACCGAATCCAGAGACACTCCGTCCATCTCTTGCCAATGCTAGTAGGGTGGAGGCCATCGCTGTTATTGTTATTACTTTAAGTGTTTCATATCTCTTTCGCATCAAAGGTGCTTCGACTTGGTGCTTTGATGCCGGTCCCGCCTTTGTGTTGAGCCGAAGATCCAAACCTTCGGAGAGCTTAGCCAGCAACTCGCCTCAAAGAGACACAAGACGGGTCAACAAAGACCAGGTAACACAAATAGGTACACGGGTCAACGCTGAGGATTGGAGCTCGACTGCAAACAAGACGGGCCCAAGACTGCAAACTCGACCGACTTGTCCGTGCTTCTAGTTCCATGCCAAACATTGGTCTTACTTAGACTTAGTCGTTGTAGCAACCCAAGAGATCTCACCAAAATCCATTGACCACTCAACGAGACCCAATGTTACAGCGTGTGTAACACTCGTCGTGTTGCCTTTTCCTGCTTTCATCCCTGTGTTCCATGCTGACAAGGCGCCACTGGACCTCGAATGCGGTGAAATTACATCATCTCACCACACTGCACCACACGCTAGACCCAACAAGTATGAAGGCCTACCTCCAACCAATTTATCCTGCAAAAACCTGAATTAACCATGAATACTTTGCACACAGAGTTTGGAACGAGTACGTAATGCCATGCAAAGCCATGTGCACGATGCTTCGGACCAAGGGCGTGAAGCGGAAATCCCCGCCATGATGAGGTGCCTCGGAAGTATCAGTTGAATCGGCTGAGTGTCATCATTGACAAATCACGTCTCATCTGTGGCACGCTGTGGATCTCCAAATGCTCTGGAAGTTGCCAAGTCACCGAACTATCAAAGTCGCCTGGTGACACGCACTCAATTCATTCTCGGAACTTGCGAAGGGCTAGTCAGTCGCTAGCAGACTCTCTGCGAAAGAAGGAGAAGACAACAGGACTTTTCGTCACACGGACAAAGGCACCCTCGTAGGGCCTTATTAAAGGGATCCTAGTTGATCCTACACCATACCCTTTTGTTTTCTTCACATTCTTTTTGTAGTCCCTTCTTAAAGCCTTAGCAACAACTGACAGCTCAGCGCAAGTGTCTGTAGGTTGCCAGCTCAGCCAAACGAAGCCCCACATCATCCATTTGGGTCGCCCAATTTTGTTCGGATCGGACGCGCAATTGCCATTCCAAAAGCTCCTGAAGCGCATGCCATGAACTCCATAGGCGTTCTGTTGCAATGATGAAACCCAACATTTTGGAAACCAACTCCAGTTGAAATGAGGAAAATGAGTGATCCAAGCTTTGCTCAATCACCAAATCATGTGCGAAAAAGGGGAAGGCATTGAAGCCAAATTGCTGCGTCCCGCTGCGGCAGCTTCGACAAAACAGTTGCCCAAGCATCTCCTTGGTGACGGACTGAAGGAGAAAAAACAAGTCGAGAACGACAAAACAAACATGACGAGAAAAAGGACACCAAATAGCTGCCTCCAACCTACTAGCTACTAGCTTCTTGTTCCTAGTAAGGCCAGCCCCTAGTAGCGTCCTTGCTCCTAGTAGTACTGCCAGCAGCCCCTAGTAGCGTTCTTGTTCCTAGTAGCGATGCCCTTTGTTACTAGTAGCGTCCTAGTAGACTCCTTTGCTAGTAATTTTAATTCGATTCTATTTAAATATTGTTTCTACTAGCTTCTTGTTACTACTAGTAAGGCACTTGTTACTAGAAGCGATGCACTTGTTCCTAGTAGCGTCTTTGCTCCGAGAGTCGCACCGAGACATCGGACTTTCGGATTTGCGCCGCTCTTTCGAAAAGAACTTTGGCTTCCTCGTACTGGCGGAAAGCCTGAAAGTCGTCAATCATGTAATACATAAATATTGAAAACACATTGAAGTACATGTTGAAAATAGTTAATATACATTTATATATATAGTTTATATAGATTTCATGATGTGAAAAAACATTGAAAACATGTTGTATGAGTTTCAGTCTCCCATAGTGCCGCACTGTCTTCAGAACATGCTTTGGACAAATCAGAAACGTCCGTGATATTCCGTGATATGTCTCGATGTCTTGGAGTGCCTGAGCCTTCAGAGAATCGTTGAAACGATCTGCAAAGAAATGATGCTTCTCATCATCGCCTGGACCATGTGGCTCGGCATACAAAACAGTATAAATAACTTCTGTTTGTTCGCTTTCCAGCCACGAAGAAGGTGCCAGGATTTCTACAGCAAAGTCATCACAAACTCGCACACTCTCCACTCAAATATGGTGATCTTGAGTTTTCTTCCGTTTGCACGTGATGTTTCTGTCTTCAAGTCAGGGCTGATGGCTCCAAGCCACCTTCAAAATCCGTGTTACCCCCAACGCGTAAAGTGGGCATGTTGTAGAAATGGAGCAGGGCCATCATCACAACGTTGCGCTCCTAAGGTGATGTGATATAATGGATGAACCGCACGCACAAGCGGCACGTCTATTTTCTGCGGAATAACACAGGTTCAACACTTTCGACACTTTTGTTGTCAAGAAGCACCGCCGTGAATCCACTGAGCACCTTTCGCAAGAAAAAAACATTGTCATTTGATCGAGCTATGCGTGAATTTTTTCTGGGCTTGCGTGTGATCTTTCCGTGTCCACGCAACAAAACACTCTATAAAGTACGCTACTGGCCTTACTACTAGTAACAAGAAGCTACTAGGAGGGCATCGCTACTAGGAGCAAGGACGCTACTAGGGGCTCCGGAAAGTAGCTGAGAGCGGAGAAAGCCCTGTGTCTCGGATTGCGTCTTGCCTTGTTCTAATCCTTCGAATGGACCATGAAGGATGCCAGCGGCCCGACCACCCACGTGATCATTCGCTTCCAAGACCACCACATCACCTCCGTTCGAGATTGACTCGAGCGCATCGACTGAAACAGGTCGATCGATTGAGACCAGTGGCAGTTGGCGTGCCGCAAGCTTTGTGCTGCCACCAAACCAGCCAAGCCAGCCCCAACAACAATGATGCGACCAGGACACCTCCACGGCATCAGGCATTCAAAGAAATGAGGAACACACTTCACAGAAATGAAGGCAAATTCTGCTTTGATGGCGGCCTGGTCTCTGTCTCGCAGCTCTGTGCCTGAATCATTCTCAACACGTACGGTTGAAACGGTGGAACAAGCACTGAAAAGCTTTCACTGTGCCTCCTCAGTCCCCGCAACGGAACATATCCTCCTTAGTCACTCATTGACGTGTCAAGTGTCATGTGTTTCATGCCTTTGAGCTTAGCCTCAAGACAGCAAGCCGCCAAATGTTCCGCACCTGAGGTGCCGGATTGTGCAACTTGGAGGACCATGAGGACCAATCCTATTGGATTCTTTGCAAAGTTGAATCAGGCTCGAGGCCAAAACAAATTAATTGAATGCACGATGGCTAGTCGGCTAGTTTGTCAACAACGAAAATTAAGATAGTTATATTATAGCAACTGCGGCAAAGGTTCGCATTGTAGGATACGCACTGTTCCGGCGGATTCAAGAAAAAAAAGCCTAGATGCAAGCATTGACCTGCCATGCCGAAACTCCATGAAGCACCATGGCGGAATCAAATGACAATCTCAACATCCACAACACCTATTCATTATTATTCATTTTCTATTCTGACTTTGTGGATTTGCACTTTGTGAATCAGTGAAAGCTCTGATGGATGGATGATCATGGTAGGTTCACCGGTGCCGATAGGATTTCAGTGGTTCCATGTGGAACTGGCGATGCTACGCGATGCTTGAGACCTTGAGAAAGAAGGGAGCCAAAAGGAAAGCGGGCAAGCGGGGGATCACTTCGCGCGAGGCCCCTGGCACTCTCTTTCTCTCTCTCTCTCTCTCGCTTATATGTTTCCACTTCTATCAAAAGTGGAAGTCTTGCGCATCTCGTCTGTGGCAATTTGTTTTGGTCGCGTCATGTTGCATCATCGGGTGACCGTCACGATGTACTTCATGAAGGGCGGGTTTGGATAGCCTTGACCGGAAAGCCGGCAAGGGCACAGCACAAAACACAAACCCACACACGCTCGCATCATCGTTCCTCAAACCCTTGTGCCACGGAAACACGGAACACACGGAATTGTTGGTTGTAGATAAACGCAAGCACACGCTGCCACACATCGCATGTAAAAGCTGTAGTGTGGGCATGGATTGCCATTGGGCAACGTCTCGTGTTTCCAAAGTGCAACGCCAAGGCACACCCGCCAGGCCCACTGGGCGGCCCGCTAGGACCGCTAGGAGGGCTTGCGCCTTCATAGTACGGATTCTGATGAACTTGACAGCGACGCTGGAGGGCTTGGCCGATGCTGGCCACTACCTGCGATGCCATCTGCTACCGGCCCGCTTTGGCTTCACGCTTATAGGGTTTGCAGTTCTGGCCTTCGCCTCGTCCTCTGAGAAGGTGGCCACAACACAAAGGCCAACAGTTGCAGATATAACATTTGACAGGATCTTCCTTAGCTGGTCGAGTCACTCGACAGCATCTGAGGTCTGAATGAAGAATAGCTCAGAAATGCTCAGAATAGCACTACATGAATTCATACCGGTCCGATTAGCCCTGCCTTCAACTACGTGAACCCGTCTCTTTGGTGTCTCGAGTTGGGCGATTGTTGATTCTTACATTAAACACCTGATCCCTGACGCGCCACAGCTCTCAGACTTAAGCTTTGCGGCTTCCACAGCTCTCTTTGCACTGTGCATTCTGGATGGATTGCAAAGACCAAGGACGCAGGGGGGATGCTGAACAGCAGACAAGTCCAACTGGCAGAACTTCAAATCCATGCCAGGAAGTTGCCGTCTCACATGCAGCTCCTTCCTCATTTGACTTAGCTATGATCCAACAAATCTGAGCGCATCGTATTTTGAGGAGGGGCGAGCAATAACATAAGACAGTGGACAAGTTTTCATCTTTCTAAACTCAAGATTTCAGCTCACATGTTCATTGACTCTGTGCTTGATTTTGAAAGCATCTGTCTCCAATAGCCACCTTTCAAGTTCCAGTCGAAAAGATCCGAGCCCATGATGGCAATCTGTTTGACATTCTGTTGTCCTACAAGTCAGCCATGCAAAGCGGCTCTGGTGCTTCTGTGGGCTCCGTCCGAACAAAGGCCACCCATCCAAAACGAATTAACACACACACACACACACGTTGGAGGTGAGGGTAAATATGCTTTTGGTGAACGTGGCTCCTAAGACCTGCTTGGCCAAGAAGTCGGTGATCACCAAAAGCTCTTGCCTAGGTAACGTGGATATTGTGCCTAGCAGGCAAACATTAAACGCTGTGACAAATGTTATACTGACCTCTTCCTACGGCCAGGTGACATGCTGCCACAAAAGGGTAGCGCAACCTGCAGCGTGCCGGGCGTGCGCTGCGGGCTGTTGTCGATGGTTGGTAAAGCGTCAAAGGCCCCGATGGACTGCAAAAAAACCCAACATGGCTTGGCACCTTGGAACGGTCGCTGAATCTTGCGCCACAAAAAGAGAAAATATAACTATATAACTATAAAGCAATGAACAGTGTGTTTATATGATTATGTAATTACCATACGAAGGCAAACGCCGATGCCGGTGCAGTTGAAGAGCGGAAGTCTCAATGCAGCCTTACAGGGTGGGAAGAAGTCTGCAGGAGATTCGAATTCCTCTCCTGGGACAGGGGAACGATAGAAACTGCGACCACGCCATGGGTGCTACACCCATATGAGCCTGGTCCATATCGAATTTCATGAACCTCGCCGTCAATCTCCACTCCTTCGGAAAGCAGTTTGAATGGGGATCAAGTATGCATGGTTGTGAGCTGAGTCCTGCTTTCAGCCCTGAACTGAGTGCTGAATGATTCTGAACTGCAAGCAAGGCTCTTGCTGTGACTTTACCAGTGGCTCTCGTGCGAACCACTGCTCCACCAAAAGTGGGCACTGTGCCAGGTACGGCACACATAGTGTACGTTGTCGCAGGCTGTTGGTAATACGGTACAAACATGGCTCCAGGTCGTAAAAACAAAACACACCTCTGCATGCTGGCGATTCCAAACGCCTTGAAACTAGGGTAACTAGAGGTTCTATTGTGATTATTGTGACATGCAGAGAAATATATTACAACTCGTGCCAAAACTTTGAATCGGCCCGTGACATCTGAGCCAGAACACTGTCGACTTGGAACAGACAGAGCTTGGAGGACGAGGGCCTTAGAAGGAAAACAAACAGATTTTTGTGGTAGGAGTGAGCAACAACGCTGTTGACCTTTGTGACCGCGGGCTATTCTTTCATGCAAAAACACCTTTGCCCTGGAAAAAAGAAAACTGGACTCCACAGCTCCGAGTCCTGCTATGCGCCCTGTGCACTGTACCTCATCAGCGTGAGTGGTGTCTTCGGGTGGTGATGGATCTGGCAGTGGCATACCTGGCAAACACATGGGAAGAGTCACAATGGCTTCAAAACCTCTGAGAGTCTCAATGTCTTTGAAGCTAGAACAAACTAAGCCTAAGCAAGTCTTCAGAACCAATTTGCCGGTCGGATGATAGTCTCTGGCCCCAATCTCCCTCATCCGCTACATTCATGCAATGTTAAGACTAAGACTTCCCCTTTCCTCTTCCCCGCTTGGCAGAGTGACGGCGAAGTTGCAAAGGCTTCAAAAGCTTTGGCTTGATCCAAAAGACCTCTGACAAAAAAAGGAGGTTGATGAGTTTTTGTCTGGCCAAAAGGCGGAGAGGGAATCGGGAAGCAATCTGAAATCACAGCTTGTACACAAACCGTGGACTTTTGACATTGACATTCCAATTGCCAAACCAGGAACCCGTCCTGACCATCATGCAGCGTGACCTTCCACCGATGGCTTTCGGCGCCATAGGCCTGTAGAATGCCCAGCCTCGGAATCAGAACGTGTCTGGAGTGGTTCCTACGGGCTACGGACTCCCAATACGGGTGTATTGAAATGCGTCCAATACGCATCCAGGTTCCTTTCTGCCTCGGTATGAGCCAGTTTCAGCTAAAGAATAGAACATCATCTCCGGTGCCGTTGTTTCCTTGTGCTGGTTGTTTGTGATGTGATCCAAGTTTCCCCAGCTGGGTGCAAGCGGCCCGTTATGACTGTCCCTTCATTCTACCCCTTCGATGCTCGCAACCACTGCTTGAGATCCTGGCGCACCGTTAGTGCCTGTCCAGCATGAGTGGGCAACTGAAGGGTGTTGCTAGCCAACCAAATCCGCACTCCAACAAATCTCAACAAAACAACCACAAACGGACGACAAACGCACCCAATCATGACATGTCGTAAATCTCTGTATCACTTCACCTTTGATTCACTGCAAACCCGCGCGGGCGTTTCCAACCACCTCAGCAAAACAACAACCCTTTCCCACCCGCCTTTGTTCTTGACTAGGCCTTCTAGACGAACCTGGTCGTGAACCTTGGCTCGAGCGCATGCGCTACGGCTACAACATGCACAAGCGAAGGAGCAAACTTTAGTGTACTCAGCTCCCAATCACCATTTTCTGACATAGGGGCGCCTGAGCTAACAGGGGGCTACATTGCGGCTACATCATGTGGCACAAACCACCTGAACCACACGCTCGTCAGACTTGAGGTGAAGTCGGTTCCGTGTCAACGCACCTGGTCTCTCTACCCGCTGCTGCTTCCAATGCAGATTGAAGGTTTCAGCCCACTCACAGATTGAGTTCGAATGCACGGGTTCCATGTGGCGGGTTGCGCGCAACATGGCATGTCAGGTGAAACTTTCCGCTCTTGACCTTTGGACATGTGGAGATGGCATCTTGATGTCTGAAGTGCTCTTGCAAAACGCCTTGGACCGCACGATGTGCTTGATGTGCAGATTTCGTGGTGGTGCGCGCTTTAAGGTTTAATTCTTTCTTACATGATAATTCGTTTAATCTATTCTGTAAATAAACAATATGCACGAAGTAAAAAGAACTGCTTTTTTACAAGTAAACGCTGCAAATCTTGTAAGACCATATTATTAAGACCATGCAGGTGCAAAAGCCCTGGACAATGAAACACATACACTGAAAATACTGCTGCATTAGAAGAAGATGTTACTCAACAAAGAGCAGCTCCCGCCAGTTTACAGGAACAAACAACGCAAAGGAAACGGCTATTGGTGATGAAACTGGAGATATGACCAAAGTAATCAGTGACATACTGAAAAAAAAGTCCTCTTATTGATGCTAAAGCCAATATTCAAGTTTGGCACACTGAACAATACATCATCAATAACTTTGTGAATAATATTCAGCTTTGATTTAACAAAATACATTCGATGGATCTCTCAGAAGGGGCTAAATACACTGAGTAAAGATATAAACCAAACATGTAAACAGCATTAGCTCAATGAAAGGGTTTATGATTTTAGATTTTAGGCAAAAAACATTGTGCGAAAAAACAGCTAGTTCAATTGAAACTACAATACTTTCAATAAAACTTATATATATATAACTATAAATATATATATATATACATAATATTTTTTGCTGGCCTTTGGTGCCCCCCCCAAAGAAAGTGCAATTTTTGCAAAGGAGTTCGATTGGATATAGCATTGAACGGTCTAGAATTACATCTGCTGTCTGCTTGGCATTGGCACCAAAACCAAACAAACCAACAACGAAAACAAACAACAACTATACCCAATTGCCTTTGCTGCCCACACTTCCATAGGTTCGTGTTTTGTTTTCGTTGCTGTCTATTCAATTGGTTTGGCAAAGCCGTGGTAGTGGATGGGCATTTTCAGATATGATGAACGCGGCTGGTGGCAAGACTGAGCCCTTCAGTTTTTTCTGGCAAACGGCTAACCATTTCTACCTGTTCTGGTTCTCCCACAAGAAGGTTAAAGGCAAAACGCGAAGCAGCAGTGCAGTGCACAGAGTCATGGAAATGTACGCAAACTCCGCGGGTGGCTACCGGGCGCTTGGGAATCAAGACCTGCAAAGCAAGGCCGCTGTGAACGTGGCGTGGAACATTTGGCCCGCTCCTGCAGGTAAAACATGGATTTCTTCTATACAGCTGCCCACCATCTCGTAGGAGTACTGAGCTTCAGATGAGACAATATTCAATATCTTGTAGCATTTCTGCCTCAGCAACCCATGAAGCCGCAAGTGAGGGACGTGAGATGTTCTGGATACCTGGCTCGTCAGGTGATCGAAGCCGGGTAGCTTTTCACGCCGGCCTGTCTCCACCTAGACAGTAACGCTTCCGGCCCACGACCTTGGATTACTACGGCTCAATCTGGGCTTTGAAGTTCGGACTATCCTGGTCAGTGCGCGGCAACTGCCACCTGCCAAGTTGTCAATGGACATCAACATGGATCAATGCCAATGAGTGTTCCAGTGCTGTCTTCATGAAATCAGGGCGGGCGGTGATAAAATTGCACTTCGTCTCATTTACATCCCGGCCCCCGCGGTCTTCATGGAACCTGCAAAGCGTGGAAGAAGCAGGGCGCCCCCTGGGCCGCCCCTGAAGTCAGGCGCTTGGGCGCACGTGCGATGAGCCGCCAGTGCATCTGAAGAAGGGCTCTAAAGAGAACAGCATCCCAGCGCCATTCCTGTGCAGAAAGGTGATGCCCAAATGAGGAGAAAAAACAAAAGTGTCAGTTTCTTCGGGGGAGATGATGGGAAATGTTAGAACGCCCCACCTGCCCACAACTTCGGCAACCTTATCTTTGCCATTCTTTACCTATCCCGGGAAAAAACGGCTTTGCGCACGGCTGCAGGACAGCATGGGCGAGGACTCCTGTGTTGTCCTGCTTGCTGTCCACACCAATCATCGTGTGACCTGGAACGAAAGCGTCCCGCGCACCACGTAAGTAAGACGACGTAAGGACCAAATGCCGGGTGAAGTCGGTTGCGTCCGGCTCCTGGCGGTTCAGGTGAGGGAGTGCGAAGCCGACGGATGATGTGACGCTGGGCCTTGCAAAGTGGTTGCCCCGGACGCAACCACCCTAACTGTCAAACTCAGCTGAAAGGCGAAAGCAACAAATTCGCAATCGTTTGTGACAGCCTTTTTCAAACTCGGCTTGTGGAGGTGGCCGTGGGCGACGGCATGTGACAGCGCACCCCGCGGAAATCCTGCTCTCCAACAAGCCACTCCTGCGAAGCTCGGCACGCGAGAGCACAGTCCTTTTTGTGACGCGTGAGCTTTACATGGCGCGCTCGTCCTGGAGCCCCAGCCCTAGGAACGGCTGCCGAATTCTTCTTGACCTGCGTCCTCCCTAGACTGCCTGGCTAGGATCTTCTCTGCCCTCCGACTGTTAGCGCGAACAACGGAATGGCTCCACCCCTCTTTATTGGCCTTCGTCTTGCAAGCCCAGTGGTGCTGGAAACCCCGAATCTCCACAACCACGGAAACCGCAAACGCACACTCTCCTCTCCTCGGTCAGAAGGGGCTACATCATGTAGCGCAAGTCAAGCGAACAACGCGCTAGCGACACTACAAGCATCTACAAGCTAAAATAGGCATAGAAGCAAGGACGCTACTAGGAGCAAAGGGCATCGCTGGAGCAAGGACGCTACTAGGGGCTTACTAGGAACAAAGAAGCTACTAGTAGCCAAGGGCATCGCTACTAGGAGCAAGAACGCTACTAGGGGCTCCTGGCCGTACTACTAGGAACCAGAAGCTACTAGTAGCAAGAATCTACTAGGAGCAAAGGTCCATATCAACAATTTCAGTTCGACGCGTCGGTCCACGTTTTTGGGCGCTCCCCACGTGGAGGATCGGCTCCCCTGCGCTAGAGGCCTCCGCTTCTGCGGCCGCCATCTCAGCTCGACCATCCTCCAAAATGGACAACCGTGAATGTGCAGGGCGGCAGGGCGATGTAGGGCATAGGAAAACTAGCAAACTCATGCAAAAACCAGATGCCAGGGTGGCCCGACAGCGCAGTGGGAGATGACTCAAGGCAATGGTAATGTTGATGACAGTATTGCGAGAATAATGATGGCGATCAGAATGTTATATAACTAATGGTGCTAACGCCAAGTTAAAGTAGATGTGACATGACAATCTCAACGTTCAAATTTTACCTGTGGGGCGCTCATGCGCAACGCCCTTGTGCGGCAGTGTTGTGGAGCGTTCTTAAGGGCACCCTTGCGGGACATTCTTGCAAAACACACTTGTGGGGGGGACTCTTCAAAACACCCCTCTAAAGCGCTCGACACTTGTCTGTGATGCTCGTGTGGGACGGTGTGGGGCGGTTTTGTGGGACACTTTTGTGAGACATTCTTGTTGGACACTCTTCTGGGCAACCGCCGCTCGCATCCCATTCACAAGCGGCACGCCGGCAGCGACGCCACAGACGAAATTTCGCCGCACTATGTGCCACGTAATAGATTCAGCCCACAGCTCCAACAAGCCTGTCCCGCGCGACATTTGCACCACAAAGTTGCCAGTTCCCCACTTCCCGCACTACATTTGTACTACGAACTTGCCAGTTGTGAGCCCGAACTTCCAGAAACTACTTACCGCCGTACATGTGTACTAGTTCTGTGGCCACAGCTCCCAGAAGCTGCGGCCCGCGCTACATGCGCACTACAAATTTTCCGGGTTCTGAAGCCGGTTGGGCAATGCCCGCCTTGATTTTCGATAACATTTGCACATTTTGGCAACTTCCATCTTGGTCTTCGACGATGGTTGCGCACTTGTACCCCCACCTATATATATATATATGTTCGACAACAGTTATGCACACTTTGGCCGCTTACACCTTGATTTTTGGCGATGGTTCTATTTCCTGCCGGGTTTACTGAAGACAGTGAATGTTTTGTTGAATGCTCGCGAAGTACTCTTTTCCAAAACGGTCACTGCCTCAAGCAACCCTTCTTCCTCGCCTCTACGCCGAGCCTGCCAGTCGAGATTCCGTGAGATCAACTTGCTACCACCGCATTGCTTCAGCCAGGCTTGCGTAGAGCTTTTGCCCACGCTCGTTCATATATTTGCAAACCACCGCCGGCACACACACCCACAACGACAAGCCGTTGATGACTTCTCCTTCTTTGCTTCTTGCAGTGGTTGGCTTCGGCGCCCACCGCTTTACAAGCCCACATTTGATCCACAAGGCCAGTACTGACCTGGATCTCAACATATCCTGCGACCTTTAACTGTGCTTTGTAATTCCAATGCGTGAGATAGATACACATGTGAGTTGAAAAAAACCGTTCTAAAATCATTATCCTAGGTTGAAATCACAGCAATTCCAAGCGGTGGCCAGCATGTACTCAACATGCGCTCATGTATATGGTTGTATGTTGTGTATGCCCTTTTAACAGCTGCGTTCTTACTTACAGAGTCCAATGGTTCCAAATGTGAAGCTGAAAGTAGCCATCCTCTTGCACACAGAAACAAATTGCCAAGACTATACACCCTGGAAAGCACTTGGACAAGTGGTCAAAGTTGCAAAGGGGTCTAGCGCGGGTCTAGCGCGGATCTAGCGCGCTTCCCTGCCAGTGCATGAGGCCACCAAAAGTCTGTGATCAAGAACTCGCTTTCTCGTCTCTCAAACAGTTACTCCCTTTCAAACAGTTGCTGCTCTTATGCCTGTGCGGGTGTGTGTGTGTATGTGCACCAATGAGTGACCGTTACAATCAGCTCTTGTTTGTTAATCTACTAAGTACTTGATCCTAGCGCCAAACCTAGCGCGAACCTAGCGCAACCCTGCGTTTTGCTAGCGCGACGAGGTAACATACCCACTTTAAACACCAGAATACCAAGCGGTGGCCAAGCGATTTCTGAACCTCTGGGAACATTCCTTACTTAATACATATTCCTGGGTTTTTTTCGACTCATGTGTGCGCAAAACAACACGCGTGCAAGCATCTTGCCCACCCCCCCGAACCGCCGTGAGATACACATGCAGATGCGCGACGAACTCTCGGAAAAAAAAGAGCAATTCTGAATTCGAAGTTCCATTGTGTTCTATGTAATTCAAAGCCTGGACGTAAAATTTTGGAAAATAACATTGAGAACACATATAAAATACGTATAAAAGTTAGACATGTTGCATGTAGTGCCGCTGCCTTACGTAAACCCATCTGGTCTGGCTATATTTTAGCAACCTCCGCCTTGATTTTCGACGACGACACGCGCGATCTCCGCAAAGGGGTCACAGACGTCACCAAGAATTCGGGCTTCACCGAACGTTTGAGAACGCGACGGGCACGATCTTCGCAAAGTTCGCCAAGCTTACCACATATTTACGCATAAGGGCCGTCCACGTCCCAGGGACATGCACGATTTTGTTTTTTAAGCATCGGCCGGGCCAGCCCGCCGCCTTGCAAAAGAGAAACATGTCGAAGTTGTAGTTGCGCAGTTGGGCTTCGTAAGCGTCTTCACCTGTATCCAAAGACCAGTATCTATGTAGGTGTGTCATAGCAATTGTACCACCGACATCTCTCAGCACCCGGATGATGATGATGATGATGATGATGATGATGATGATGATGATGATGATGATGATGATGTTGGCAGCAGTTCTTTACGGAGAACCCTTCGCGCATGCTTTCGGGAATAATGCGCAAGAAGCTTTTGCAACCAGCTGAGGTATGCTTCGTGTCTTGAGCAGTGATAGCTCTAAGCCCCTCGAGATGTCTCTCCTCACTGACGAGCCAACTGTCCAACCGGCGGACTGCCACCTTGGCTGCCTGGACAGAACCGCTTCGCGCAATATGTTTTGGGCGGGTTGCCAGCGATTGGTAGTAGGCTGGTGCGGAAACCATGGTGTAAGCAGTTCAGGACACCTTAGCTGCAATGTAGAATTGACCCAAATAATCAATCAAATAATCAATTGACGTGGTTATGTGTGGCTTGGTTCGCCAATCTTGAGACACTGTCAGGCCAAGTTTGTGCAATTTGATAGGGAGTCAAACCTGAGCAACACTTCAAAATTGAGCAAAGTAGAACAACGTACTGCACGATGGGATTCCGAAGACCTGACCTTATGTGTTGACCTGGCCCCATCTTAGACTATTTTATGCATTTTGCTTGCAGGTTCAAGTATCTCCAAAGAAACACATGGATAACATATATGGCTATCTTTCCACGTCTAAGATTTGCCTTCTGCGGAATGACTTCCTACTGTACTTTAAAAGTCCCTCAAGCTTTCATTGGTCCAAAGAAAGCACACACAAGCCTTTCTCTCTTTGGGGCGCCTGGGGAGAAAGCCCCATCTCGACCAAACGCTCCAATGCAGCACAATGGTGCCTCAGTTCATGGGTTCGCCTTCCAAACCAAAGTGGCCATCATTCAAAACAAATAGAGGATTTCAAGTGACTGGCTGAAAGAAATACACATCAAAGCTTGGTACGATGCCGCACGCCCAAAGGAAGAGAGCGGAATTCAATTCTACAAAAGGAGCCGCTCTTGACACCAACCATCCCCAGTTGGCCGTGGAAGTGGACAAATATTGTAAGGCGTTGTCATTCGACTTCTGCGTCTGAAGGGGTTTGCAACATATTTGCCAGCCCTGGTATAAATAACCAACTGAAGCCACCTCTAAACCAGAGCAATTTCAAAGTCCCTGGCCGCATAGTCGCATCATCTTCAGGGTGGGCGTGGACCTCCGTTGGCTCCTTGGAGGAACCCGGCCGCACTGGATGATGCGCCTCCTTTGAGGAGCCTCGGTCACACCATGCGGCACCTCAAAAGTCATGGGGGTAGTTGGGCTAGAAAACTGATGTGCAACCTAGGTATGACTGATAGTTTTAACTACTTACTTCTCGACTACTAACAGGAACCATTCAATGATTATTACATTTGCAGTAACAGTATACTGGACTTGCGCCTGTGCCTCAAGATGGAATGTGGTCGCAAAGTGACCCGAACACCATGAATCCTTCATTAAAGCACTCATTCAAGTCTCTTCAAACCGCATGTTTGCTTGTGCCTCCCCCAGTTTTTGGGGTCCGCACCACCAAACCAGCTTGGCCTGAGGCAAGAGCTGAAACGCTTGAATCAAACGAAGCATCCAACAAGTCTCTGCCTTCAAACTTTAGCCATGAAATGCTATGAAGGATCGCCAGTGATCAATTAAACATCCAGGTGTGGAACTTCTGGCACAAAACCCATTCCACCTTGTGAATTTGCTCCATTGCTCTTTCATGTCTTTGAAGACTTCATTCATGGAATCGCCGACCTGTGACATTGTGATCGTTGTGGGCCGGAATGCCATACAGGGAAAAGAGAACATAGGCTGGACAACTCTAATCCTGTTGCTCGAATGAGTTGCAGTCAACACTTTTGCGTGGCTGAAGGTCATTGGGACGTGTTATTTGTTCGATTGTCGAGCATGATCAAGCATGGGATCCTCTTTTGGTGAGTGTATTGTCCTCGTGGAGGAGTAATTAACTGCATTTTAAGCATTGCCACTCATCTGGACACTACCTCAAACGTGAAGCCAAAAGCAGCTCAGCCGGCGCTGGCCTCCTTCAAGGCCTCTTCTGTGCGTTTCCCTGCATTAAGGCATGCGCTGGTAGGTTCAACCGTCACTGATCTGGCAAGTGAATTGATTCTAAAGGAGAAGCAGGCTGTATCAGGTCTCTTCAGCCAGGCAAGGCACCCGCTGTCTTGATGCCATGGTGCTCGCCGCTCCCAGCTCGGGCACGCATCCTGCACATGTTGGCGGCCCCAAATAAGCCTCCAACCTAATAGCATTATGATGTGCCTTACAGCCTAACTCTGAAATTTCAAGGACTAATAAAAAAAACAAAATAAATGCAACACCACACTCAGAAATGATGACCAGGAAATCCAAAAATTGGCATGACAAAGGCAGCTGGTCAAAAGAGTGCATATTAAAAACATAACACACATTTTGCAAAAGGAAGCCGAAAAGAAATCAAACAACACGCAAAACAACAGTTAAAAAACAAACATAACACAACGCAAAAAAAAAGAACATGCACAACCAAATTTAACACACCACCTTTTTGGTGTTTTTTTTGTTTTTTTTCTGCTGCGATGTTTGTGCGTTTTGTCTGCGATATTTTTGCGTTGTTTTTTTTCCCGTTTTGTTTGCGTTATTTTTTTCGCGTTTTCCCGAAGGAAACGCAGAGAAAATGCAAAAACAACGCAAAAGGACTGGCAATCTAGAGGCAAATAAACAGGAAAAAAACATGCTAAAGCAAAGACCAAACCGTTTTTGATCGTTTTTGTTTTGCTTCTTGTTCGCATTTTGTGTGCATTTGTTTGTTTTGCATGTTTTGTGCGTTCTTTTTTTTTGGGTGTTTTTTTTAATGGACAAATGTGTTTTTACCGCATTTTGTTGGCATTTTTTGCATTCCAACGCTCCCCTTGGTGACTTCTTTTTTTGCGTGTTCTGTGCATTTTTGCAGCACTGGTTTTGCATTTTTATACTTTTGCTGTGTCATAAGAACTAGCTTTAATGTAAAAACATATATAGTAATAAATAAGGAAAGTAATAGCGGGCCTCCAACCTACTAGCGATGCCTCGACCTAAGAGCGATGGCCTTCAACCTAATAGCACAAGGAACGTAATAGCGATGGCCTCCAACCTACAAGCGATGCCTCAAACCTAAGAGCGATGGCCTTCAACCTAATAGCACAAGGAACGTAATAGCGATGGCCTCCAACCTACAAGCGATGCCTCAAACCTAAGAGCGATGGCCTTCAACCTAATAGCATAAGGAACGTAATATGGCCTTCTCTATAGATGCTTCCATTATTGTTTAAACGTGGCCAGTGTTCACAATACCTCAAACACCCGAGGTTGGGCACCAAACTAAAATCCTTATTTTTTGTGCCAAGATGCTTCGCTGGGCCACGAGCAAAGCCAAGCGGAGATCGAACACCGAGAGCCGAAATTTGGCCCTGCGTGTCAAAGGCGATTAGGACGATATACGCAAGCTGAACGGATTTGGTTGGATCCAACTCACCCCTGCTTGCTTTTCGTCTGAAACTGTGCAACTGGAGCAGTTCTGTGACATTGAGGTGCATCCTTTTCATCTCACCGCCGGTTGAAATCTTCCAAGATGTCTTCCACCTTCCGGTTTTTGGTCTCCTTAGGGTGGCAATCGATGTGGAACAAAACACGCAGCCGTTTAGTCTTGTAACGGTTTTGCGCAAAAACTCAGAGCTCCAGGCAGGCAAAGCCCGCCTCACATAGGCATAACCAAGAACGAGGACCTTAGTGGAACATAGCATTTAACAGCATCAAACATCTGTCATGACATCTGTGTGACCTCATGCCAAAGTGCCAAAATGCTTGGTGTGAATGCCAGTTTGGCACCCAAGGTCTTCTCCAAGATCTGAGTGTCAAAGTCAAACCGTCAAACTTCGTCGTTGACGCACCTAAAGCTCCCTTGCAACATGTGATGCTGCTCCGGACTTGCATGCGGCGTGTTGGTTTGGTGTCTCGAATGTACCAAGGGGCAGGAAACCCAAAAGCTACACTGGCACTGAAGATTTCACAAAGCCTCGGCAGTCTGCCCGAGTGACAGAAGAATTGAAGTGCAGGGCTGAAAGAGGTCCATCTATGACAAGTCACGATGCGATGAGGCACTGCGCCTAGCGATGTGAAGTTTCAAGAAACGGATTTTGGATTCAACATAGCGGACCGCTCAAAGCAACGCCCACAATCGGCCACGTTCCTCGTCATAGCACCTTTCTCTATCAAGGGAAAAGCCGCTCCGGCAAAACCCCACGGCAATCATTCGGTGATCAGTTAAGTTGTAAAGGGCCCTCACCGGGCTTCCAATAGTCCAAACCATTCGTTTTGATTAATTTCCCCTTCCAATTGCCCTGCCTCAGCCCGACAGCGCAAGGGGAAGATCTCGTTCCTGAAAATGATCTCATTCAGACCCCGAATGGGAAAGAAAAAGCATCTGGATTTTGACAACGAACACTTGAAGTACCGCCGAGGATCGCAATCTGCCAGGGGATTGGCCCCAAACCTTCAGCACAAGTCTTGACTTCAAATGAATCTAATGAACAGGGCGGAGGGCCAGCAGGCTACCCTCGTCTTCAATGACTGATGAATTCGGAAGGGAACTACCGCTGACGCAATGCATCGTTGTGACAGTTGTGCAAATGAATGACCCAAGCTGATCACGGTTGAATGCTGTGCTATGGCCACTCCTTTAAAACCAACTAGGGGCT